TTCGCACTAAGAAGGTGCCATGTTTAAGGACCTTTGCGTAACTTTTGGTTGGTAATTCTACTGCGCACGCAATACATTATCAATGGCGGCTGCAAAGCAAGACCAAATTATTTTAGGGTTAGCGACCGCTGCAGTAGCTTGGCATGAATTAAATGATTTTCAAGACCTGATGACCTCCGATCTTGGGCTAAATGAGGCCCTGATCTCTTGCAATTCTGTTAACTCCTTAAATATCGAACTTCTAAATGGTGATATATACTTTTGAGCTTGGCTTATTTTTGATCTTATTGCACAAGCTTTTACTGTCTTAATAGGTAGCTGATGGCATCTCTAAATTTTTCATATGTGTAAGACTTCAAATTGTATGATCTCAATTTTAAAACACGGCCTAGGTGAAGAAAATGTGTTTACAAACTTTGGGTGTGTGTGGATTGTTAGCGCCAACTTAATTAAGTTTGATATTATCTAAATGTAAATACGATCTCTTTTAATAACTGTCAAATGTTCATGCCCGCCTGGTTTTTTTTCAATCAATTAATTAATCTTTTTATTTCTTAATCAGTTACACTTTACAGTTTCTAAATTTCTAAATTTCATGTAATTTCTGATTAAGGTAGTAGGGTAATCTTTTTAAATTAAATCTTAAATTTAAACGCGGTAGCAGGCAATTCCCCTCTGGTCTCTCCATCTCTTTGTTTAATTTTTTTTTACTTTATTTTTATATTCTCTTGGAAATCTTAAAATAATTTCTTGAAAAGTTGTAGTAATAAGATTTTGCTGTTTACTCCAGGCAAACATTCCGCATCAAAACGGCTAATTTTCATGCTACATTGTCTCGTACCTGACCCTGAAAATGATTGTCCTCATTTTGAAGTGAAACATCAAATATTTTGTTTCGAAAAAATGAATAACACATCCCTCAATACCTCTATCTGGACAACAACAGCAACAAAAAATGGAATTTGAGCACGTTGGATATTTCACATATTTGCCGGTATTTGCTGATTGTGTTTGATTCTTGCAGACATTTATTCTTAAGTGTTTAGTTAATCACAACATCACTGCAATGCTTACCACAATTTGCCCACTTTTCCTTGTAGACAGCGTCCAGGGAACACCAAAACTTGTCGTGATCAGCTTTGGTACAGGAATGGTATGTTACTCCTTTGTAAGTGAAAGGTATACTGCAGCATAAACCACACCTTGTTTTTGCCACACATTCAGCTTCTGTTGAGAACGTTGTAAATAAAAAGATAAAAGGAACATCAAATATACAACTTAAATTTAACAATCTTCGATTTTCGAAAGAAACTGTTTCGTCATAATATCATTAGCTATTGCATTATCCCTTCGATAATTCCGAGATGCAAATTTCTTGTAGTAAATGGCAAATTTTGGTAAATCGCCGAAAGAATGTGGCCTGTTTAAAGTGATTAGACCAGTCCCACCTAAAAATATGAAATGTAGGCTGTATTGACGGACTTCTGTTTTATTCTACCTGTTTTTTTTTTGTTTTGTTTTTTTGTCATGGACGCGGTTCACATTTACGTCTAAGATAAAACGGGTCAGTTTCTTTGTCATCAGACTAGTTTAAAAGAAGACTATTTGTTACTTAATTCAGTGACACACCCGCCTAATTGCTGCTGTGGCACTCTTTTGTTCTTACCATGTATATTTTGACGTCATCTGACATTTTGAAGTCATGTATCTGTGATCCATTATTCAACAGCCGCACGGCGATATGAAATATATATTTGTTAAATATACAGGATACAGAATTTTTTTTTTTGTTAATTGCAACACTTATCCACTGGATATGCATTTGTCCAGTGGATATTGTTAATCACCCTTTGAACAACTGGACCCACATGTCTTAAAAGATCTCTGAAAAGAAAGAGGTTTAGCATACTCTATTGGGCTGCATTATACATTCTGTGGACAATCACACTGGCCCGTTTTCTCGTTGTATTTTACGCCGTCGCCACAGGTAATTTTGTTCACAATCTGATTTGAGCAGGCGATTTACGCGAAACAATTACAAATCCTTTTTTGTCATTTTTCAATTTCCTTGTCATTTTACAATCAGAGGTCCCAAGTTCTTCCAGCTGCCATCCTGCCTGAATTTCCCATAAAATATAGGGTGTTTCCATCATGCCAGACCGACCGGTCAGAGACCAGTGGGAATACTCGAGGAAGAATGAAACGACATTTACCGATCAAACCGGGCCAACCAAGAGGAATGACCCTTATCATTTCTTTTTCCTTTCCCGAATTCCCTTAATAAATGAAATCTACTGTAGAAAAACGTAGGGCAATGAACCGGTTTCTCAAAGTGGAACGGCAAATTTCGGTCTGACCGGTCAAAGTGGACCACCTCCATAGCTGGTCCTGAATATTCCGATCGGACCAAACAGAAACGGACCTTTCCAATGGACTTCAGACCGAAATTTCCGGAATTTTTGGCACAATGAAAGTACTCATAGTTTCTCAAAAGACTTACCTCTATGGTTTCCACGAACATAGTAACCATGGTTGTGTGCGAGGTACACAAACGCAAAAAGAAAGAAACTCAAAGCAATCATCCCGCGTGTTTGGTTGTCAGCTGACCAAAAAAAAAGAAAAAATTGAAAAATTAACTCAATCATTCATGCATGACACATTATGGCTTAGTGTGGTTAGCACGCTGCCCGGTCGAGCCTGATTCAGAACTCTCCGAAGCACAAACCAATTAGTTCAGGCTTTATATTGTACGCTCGTCAGTCATTTTGTTTTTGTGTTTCTTCTTTTTATTACATGTAACTGTTTATTTGTTTCTTCTTTTGCCTTTTGTCTCTTTTTTCCCGTTAACCAAAGCGGTGCGTCTTTTTGTTGTCGAGCAGTAGCGGAAGGTGCATGGTCATGCTAAGATTATATTTTAAAACTATTGACAAAAAGTATTTAATTGTCTTGTTTTGCTTTAGTTTTTAATTATTATATTTTTAACTGGACCGTAAGTTTTGACTTCCGGCCTAGCCGTTAAAATGAAAAATGTCTACTTTTGTCGTCTTTCGGGCACTTCCGGTGGCGAAAATCACGTGATGATGCAATATCAAAATATTGGCTTTTGAGCTTCCTAATTGATCCTGAGTTGTAATTTTACCACGAACTGATTGCCTAGTATAGAATGAAATGTTTTTTTTTTTTTTTTTTT